AACATGTCTGCAGTGAACAAAATTTCAATATAGTGTATTTACCATTTAATGGCTCAGACAGAGCAAAGATGCAAGACCCCTGATCTCAGTTAGGTGATGGCTGAACCCCATGACGCTGACTGACCTCAGGCTGCAAGGCCCAGACTGAGTTCCCCAACCTTCTGAATGGTTGAACTCCACAATGTTCTATTACAGGTTTCCCACGCCCTTTCTTTAAAGATGTTCAAAGTTGGGAACTCAGAAAAATACCCTTGATGACCACCTCTGTCTTTGCAGAGTGGGTCCAAAGACTGGCACAGTCAGGAGGTCTGAGAGTGCAGGGGGGCAGTTATGGGGGTTAGGGGTGCCCATGCGGCTACCTTCCTGCCACTTGAGCGATGGCGGCTGGGTTGGGAGCTGGCATGGTTCTCCTTCCCGTGGTAGATGGGGGCCCAGGCTGCCTCCTGGTGCTTGAGCGATGGCATCTGGGTCGGGAGCAGGCGGGTGCTTCAGTGATGGCTGCTGGGTCGGGAGCAGGCGTGGCTTTCCTTCCCGCGGTGGATCGGGGCCCAGGCTGCCTCCCGGCGCTTGAGTGATGGCTGCTGGGTCAGGAGCAGGCATGGCTCTCCTTCCTGCGGTGGATCGGGGCCCAGGCTGCCTCCCGGCGCTTGAGTGATCGATCCTATGTTTTTTGTCCTTCTATTTATGTGGTGTGTTACATTTTATTTACATATGTTGAGCCATCTTTACATCTTTAGAAAGAAGCCAACTTGGTCTTTTTTATAATTTGCTGCAGTTAGTATCATGTTGGGAGCTTTGTACCTATGTTCTTTAAAGAGATTGGCCTGTAATTCTTTTTGGTTGGGTCTAAGTCTGGTTTTGGAATCACAGTAAAGCTAGCTTCCAAGAAAGGTTTTATGAGTACTCCTTCCGTTTCATTAATGTTTGAGGAGTACAGTGACATCTTGGTTCATGAACACTTCGTTTGCACAGTTTGGTTCACAAACAATTCTTTGTTTATGAACTCTACATGGGGTAATGAACATGGCAATGGCCTTTCCTGCAGGAACACAACTGTAGCCATCATTTCTAGAATCATAGCACATTTTTTTTTTTTTTTTTTACTGGGAATCAAACACAGGACCTTTCACTCTCAAGGCAGGTGCAGCACCACTGAGCTGAATCCCTGGCCCTTTTCCAGAATCATGGAACAGATTAAATTCATGAATGGAGGTACCACTATATTGGCATTAGATCTTCCCTGAAGTTCTTGTACAACTCAGCAATGAATCCATCATGTCCTGGGCTTTTCTTAGATGTTAGATTTTTTTATTACTGCCTCAATTTCACTATTGGATTGTTCAGGTTTTATATCTCCTTGGTTCAGTTTTAGTCATTTGTATGTTTCTAAGAATCCATTTCTTCTGGATTGTCCTGTTTATTGCAGTACAGTTTTTTTTCTGTACGAGGGATTGAACTCAGATCTTCGTGCTTGCGAGGCAGGAGCAGAACCACTGAGCTAAATCCGTGGCTCCAGTACAGGCTTTTGAAGTAGTTATTATAGTCTCTTGAACTTTGGTGGCATCATTGTGACTTTATCTTTTTCATTTCTGATTACATTTATTTGAATCTTCTTTTGATGTTGTGGTAAGATTGTCTAAGGGTTTATCTATTGTTTCTTATTTCAAAGAACCAGCTCTTTGATTTGTTCTTTGTATTTTTGTAACAATTTATTAATTTATACTGATATTTATAATTTTTCCTTGTACTGGCCTTGCATTTGAGATGCTGTTCTAGCATCTTAAGGTGCATTACTAGGTTAGTCATTTGTGCTTTCTGTTTTTATGATGTGTTTTTATGATTCACAGTTACAAGCTTGCATTTTAGGAGTGTTTTCATTGTGCCTCATAGATTCTGGTATGTGATAATGGCATCATTTGATTCTAGTATCTAAGATTTTTTTCTGTGACTCACTGATTATTGTTAGTGCCAGAGACTCCTGCAGTAAATCTCTAGTTCCCACCTGCCCAGTGTGTGACACAAGGCTGAAGAAAAACTTAAGGCAAGAGTTAAAGAGAAAGTGTGAACTGTGACAGCCAATGCTCCTTTGGCAAAAGGCACTGGCCCATCTCTTCCGCTGAATTTTATTATTCATCAGTCAGGGTAAAGGTATATAGATGTGCAGTACATGAAGTTACCATGAAAACTAATGCAAGCAAGGCTTTAAAGAGAAGTCAAAGCATTTTCCAACTAGAAGCAAGATAGAAAAAATATGATTGTAATTAGAGCACTGTCCTTCAAGCTATGAAAGCACAAATGGTGGGAATGGAATTTGGATGTGATTACTCCAATTTCAGCTATGCATGTTACCTCGTATGAGCCCCACAGCTTCATAGACCATTACTGGTCTCTTGTGGTCATTAGCGGGAGGTCGTATTAACCTGCTTGCTACTGCAGTGCTCATGAGATGTTCCTGTGAGCCACATAGCTTCAGCAAGAATTGCTTGTTTTTTGGTACCGGGAATCGAACTCAAACAGCCTTTGCATTTGCAAGGCAGGTGGTGGAACCACTGAGCCAACCACTGAGCCAAGTCCCCAGCCCTAGGCCCTAGACTTGCTTCTTAAAGTAAGCCAATTGAGGGATTTAACTCTTTGCAGCCTGTTTTCGGCATAATCAATATTGTGGGCTCTGGCAGTTAGGGTTGTGTGATCTTCCTTCAAAGCCTCATAGGTGGGGCCTTACAGGGGTGGTTGTATCTAGTGTGTGAGATTACTAAATTAGTCCAGATTGGTTTGGCATAGTTCTGGGTGAGATTAAGGGTCTCCCACCTCCGTGAGTGCTACCTGCCCTAAGGGCGTGTAGCCTGGATAAGATTTAAGGGACAGAAAGAAGGTTCCTGCCTGCCGCTTGGTATCTGCCTGGTCTGTGCTGTCCCTCTATCGTGCCAGCCTACCTTGGAGCCAACCAATTATGGACTGAAACTTTACAAACTGAGCCAAAATAAACTTTTCCTTCTTTAACTTTGGATATTCAGCATTTTGTCTCAGCAACAATTATTCAAAAGTGCATTGTTTAATTTCCATGTGTTTGCATAATTTCTGTAGGTTCTTTTGCCATTGATTTCTAGTTTCACCGCACTACCATCTGACTATGTATGAGATGTTTGATTGTTTTGTATTTACTTCATCAAGCTTTTTGAGCTAGGATGTGGTCTATTTTGGAGAAAGGTACATGTGCTGCTGAAAATTACGTATTCTGTTTTTGGGTGGAATGCTGTAGGTATTAAGTCCATTTGTTGAGAGGTTTGTTTCATCTCCAGTCATTCCTTTGTTGGTATTTTGTCTAACTGATCTATTTGTGACAGAGGGGACTGAGGTCTCCCACTATAGCTGTGTGGATGTTTAATCTGATCTTTAATATCCAGTAATGTTTAAGTTGGGGGTAACAGTGTTTCGTGCACATACCTGTTCTCTCTTCCTGGTGAACTATTCCCTTAACCAATTACTTCATTATATATCAAACAGCATGTTGTTCACCTAATGCATATCAATCAAAACATGTTGTACACCTTAAAAACAATTACAAAATTTTAAAGCCAAGCCAGAAAAAAATACATTTAGCTCAATAAAACCTTAAGAGAACTAACTGCTAGAAGATATACGCTACAAGAAATGCTGAGCTGAGTGTGTAGCTCAGTAGGACAGTGCTGAGCTAGGGTATATGGGTTTCTAGGTTCAATGCCTACACTTCCAGAAGGGGGAGGAAAGAAAGCTAATGTTCTACATACTAAAAATGTAGATCTATAAGAAGAAATGAAAAAACTCTAGAAGGATAAATCATTAAAAGACAACTGAATATTTAGAACTGGAGTAGGTAAAAGAATTTTTCCATTACAAAACTAGTAGTTATAGTGACGATGAAATGGGAAGAGGCAGTGTGAAATATGGACTAAAAAGTGATAGGACGCTGACACTAAGTAGAGTGCTATGCTAAGGGTTCACACTGCTAGCCATAAAACATCAATTCTCAGACCCTGAGAACCCTAAATAGCTTTTTTATTTATGTGGCTACACCTGTCAATATTATTAGGTCAGAAATTAAAACAGAAAAAAAATGTAAGTAGTACTTTAAATGGTTATAATAGCCCATTCAATGTTAATAAACATCATATTTTTATACCTATTCCCTACCCTCCCCAATCCCTCCAAATTGAGAAGAATGGCATTATAGTTTTACAAATCTCTTTAACGTTTGGCTTAATCTCTTTCATGTTGGCAGCTGAATTCCTACCTCTGCAATACATTGTTTTCACGAGCGTATAGGGAGAATGTTTGGCTTCACAAGGAGTTGGAAAAGGTGGAGTAATAGCCTTTTCAGACAATAGGACTCATTGATGTTACATCAGAAATTGGCAAGTGGTTGAAGGGTCCTGGTTTTTAGTCATTTCCCATAAAAATTATCTCCACAACTATGTTTTTGAGTGCAGGCCCAGAAACTAACAGGACTCTGTGCTGTGGTTTTTACCAAGTTAAGACAAAGCTTCTAGAGTCAGGAATCATATTCTTTTTCCCACTCAATGCATCCATCCTCATTTTTCCCCCAAATGGTATCAGGTTAAAGGTTAGAAGATGGAAGATCATCTGGGCTACATGAAATGTGGCTTATTTGATATTAGTATAAAGTGGCTGATTCTTTGTCACAAGCCCTACAAAAGTGAATTTTAGGATATATTTAAAAATAGAAGTCATGGGCTGGGGATTTAGCTCAGTGGTTCCAAAGCCTGGCTCACAAGCACACGGACCCAAGTTCGATCCCCAGTACCAAAAGAAAACAACAACAAAAAAGAAGTCATTACTGAGTTTCTCAGGTGAGATGGATTTTCTTCTCAATTAAAGGAGAACTTTGTCCTATCAGGTTCACCATGTTTCTCAAAACACAGAAAGGAGGCAAGATATAAAATTTTTATTAAAAGTAGTTTAAAAATTATGCAAATTAGGCTTGAAAGCTATTCATTAATTTCAAAATTATGCCAAACATAGAGCTGGGTGTGGGTGCACGTGCCTGTAATCCCAGCACTGGGGAGGTCCAGGCAAGAGGATCAGTAGGAGTTCGAGTGAACTACACAGCGAGACCTTGTCTCAAAAATCAAAACAAAAATTATGCCAAAGACAAATTAAGTGCAAAAACACAGTACATATATAGTTAAACAAACCTTTCCCGATGAAGACAAAATGATTGAGAAATGTTTTATTTTCCCTTTTAAAAGGGAAAATCGAGGTAACAACATGGCTGCAGGTGATAAATTCACACTGCTCCCTTCAAGCCTTTCAGAACCATATTAATGAGGTGCTGGCTGGTGCCTCGACACAGATTGATATCCAGGTCTTACAGGTCAGGGGTCCACTCGACAGACAGGCTCTTGTTCTCCACACCAGCCACCATGTCTTCAATGGCATTCCAGTCAAGCTTGCTGAGGATGCTGCCGGTGCTCTCAGACATGTTGTCCATGCCACACACCCCAAAAGGAGGCTCAAGCTCTTCTTCAGTTGGTGACAAGTCCTATGAATTGAGAAGAAAATCAGTCATAGTTCCAGGGTTGCCAGCCATCAAAGTGCTGAAGGAAATAGGAAGGGAACCAGGGCTGCAGTCCCTCAGCACATCCTGATTGACAGTGAGCTGAGCATCACTTGGCACAGGTGCTGGTACCCTATCTGCAGGGTGGGCAGGATGGACTTTGGCAGCTGTGGTGCAATAATCTGTTCTTCTATTTCTGTGGTTTTTAATTTAAAAAGATACAAAGCCAAGGAGAATTACAAAAAATAAATGCTGGAGTATTAAGTCAAAAGAATGGAATTACTATCTCAAATTTACCTAACAATCAAGAAGAAACACTGAAGAATGGAGTAATCATTAGACAAACTGAAGTCCAGAGCAACTTTTACCTGTGGAAGAGAATTGTGACTCTCATGGAGAATCTTGTAGATTTCTTCAGGTAAGGTCCAAGGGCTCACCACCATCTCCTCTCTCTCATACTCTATTCGTACCTCCTTTGTTGGACCTGCAAGGCCAGCATGCCTGTGGTTTTTTGCATGCTGCACACTGCAACCTGGAACATTACAGCCTTTCAAAGGAAACAACAAAACAAACTGGGGCTCACTGATTCCATAATTCGTGAATTTAATGTCAAAGCCAAGGCAGACACTTTTTACTTAATACAAATATTCCTTGTTTAACAATTTACCTGTTTAATGACCTCAGATTTACAACTGGTGAGGGCTCTTTGGACTTTTGTTGTATCTTTTTGGTACCGGGGATCAAATTCGGGACCTTGCACTTGCAAGGCAGGTGGTGGAACCACTGAGCTAAATCCCCAGCCCTGTTTGGACTTTTGACCTACTGCTCAGACTTGCCACAGGAATATCAATGGCAGTGGGGGATTATGGTGGCTGCTTCTACTTCTGTACTGTAATGTATATACTGTATACAGCTCCCCATTTTTTACTTATTTAGGTTTTTTTTGAGACAGGGACTCACTATGGAGCTCAGACTGGGCTTGAACTCACCATGTAGCCTAGGTGGACTCAAACTGATGGTGATCTTTTTGCCTCAGCCTCCCAAGTGCTGGTATTACAGGTGTGCACCACCACATCTGGCTCTACAACTCTGAATTTAGTAACCAGTTCATTAAACAATCTAGTATGTAGCAGGAACAGAACTTGGTTGTTAAATGAGGAATGTCTGTATTTGAATCACAAGGTCTGGATATGTATGGTTCACTTCACAATAGAGTTCTAATTCTTGTCCTGTCAGTATGTGAGATATAAATTTAATTCTTGCCACCTCTTTTGATTTGAAATGTAATGGTGCTTAATCTCTAGCATACAAAAGTCTAGGGAGGAGAGGCCTCCAACATAACTGGGGAGACTATGAAAGTCTTCTGGAAATGTCCTAGGTGCAGCGTGCTAGGCATCCTCACCCAGGCTTCTTGCTTAGAACTTGCCTTTGGGCCCAGGTGTCAGTGTAAGAATGGTGACAACACACTATGACCTTCTTTCTCCTTCCCACATGCATCAGTATTTGTTAAAAAGAAACTTTCATCCTAGCTGGTGCCCGAGAACAGCTTAGCAAACCCATCACTTAACAGGGCTTCTCTCTATTAGGACAGGGAAGAGCTTGGCCTGCCTAACACACTTAGTGTTCTCATCTAATGCCTCAGCACTTTTTACCCTTTCCAAGGAGATTTCCTACAGAGATACCCAAGGTGTGAGGTGAAACAGGAAGTAAACATAGGTCCCCCTGGGCAGTCATGTATGTTGCTGAGGAGAGGAAAAGGTAAGAGAGTGCTGAAGGCCCACCTGGCCTTTTATGGCTCTATAAACCTTATGTAGCTGAAGATACTTCCAAGGAGTAAGTCCACAAAAACTAACAGCACACATGTGACATTTCCTAAGAGCTAAGCACTTTACCTACATTTAGTGCACTGGACTTAGAGTGCCCAGGCCTGGTATTTGGATGTTCTTACACATCCACGCCCTTCCCAGTTTACCTGATCCAGTCCCATGGCTTTAAATGACACCTAAATGATGAGAAATCAAACCTGTAAATCTAGCTCATGTACAGAGCTTAAAACTGCCTTCCTGACATCTTCACTTGGATGGCAACAAACATCTGAACCCAACATGTCCAAAACCAAACTGTTATTTTTTACCCCTAAATTTCTTTATCCCAAGAAATGCTCAGGTTAAAATCATTATTCTTTATCCTTTCTTAAATACTCTATATCCAATTTATCAGCAAGTCCTAATTTGGTCTATCCTTAAAATATATCCTGTCTAATGAATTTTTTTTTTTTGTACCAGGGAGCAAACTCAGGACCTTGCACTTGCCAAGGCAGGCATGGAGCCACTGAGCTAAATTCTGAGCCCCTGAATTTCTCTCATTTCCATTTTTAGAACCATAGCCAAAGAAATCTCTTTCTCCCATTTCATCATTTTTCTTCCACATAGTTTAAAAAATAAAATATATTACTTCTCTGACTTAATTTTCTCCAGTGGGAGTCTTACAGAATCCAGAGTAAAATCCAAACTCCTTGCCTTACTGTGCATTATCCAGCCTCTCTCCAACCATACTTCTGGCCACTCTTCCACACTGATTTTTTTGCCATGCCAAGTGTGTTCCTGGATTGGAGACTGCTTGTTCTCTCTGCCTGGAACTGTCCTGCTATCTTTACGATTTCCTTTCGTGCGTTGTCTTCACTTTAGCATCACTTTCTCAGAGACACCTTTAACCACTCTCGCAAAAGTAGCCCCACAAAGCAGCCATCCCCTCCCTTATTCATTTCTACTGTCTGTGCTGCTCAGGGCTGCTAGTGTCTGCGGATGGTTTCTGAGGGGATATTCTTCGTGACAAAACCTTGGGGAAAGTGTTATTATCCACGTGTTGTGAATGAGGAAAATGGATTTGCCTAAGATGATGGACACAATCTACCCTACAACTTGAGCTAATGTATAACTTTCCAATCCTTAGAAAGACATACTAAGCTAATAGCACTTGGTAGCATTGGTGGTTGCCACTTTAACTTCCAATGTGAGTGCTGTGTGTAAGCTAAAAAAGGTCTGACTTTTGTCTGTTGTTGAGTTTTGAGATGTCACTGAAAGTTCCAAGCACATAACTATTTTAGAATATGTTGACTAAGAAAAAAAATTTGAAAAACTCTATGAGCGAAAATAATCTATAAGCACAAAATGGGAATGCATACATGAGCACATAGTGTGGTAAAAAAACAAAATAGCCGTTAAAGAAAAAGTGAGACTGAAAGACTCCAAAAGTGGTTAAGCAATATTACAGCCAGGTGGGCTGTCTCTTCAAGGCAGATAGATAGAAACAAATGGAAGCAGGGTGTTAAACGTGGCCTTTAAGTGTTGAGGATATAAATTGGGCAAGGTGGCGCATGCCTGTAATCCCAGCACTCAGGAAGCTGAGGCAGGAGGATCGCTGTGAGTTCAAACCAGCCTGGGCTCCATAGTGAGTTCCAGGTCAGTCTCAACTACATAGTGAGACCCTGTCTCAAAAAAACAAAAAACAAAACAAGTGTTCAGGATATGACAAGAACTTAGCAAAGGTTATAAACAGGAACTAATTCCACCCTCATCTCTGCCACAGTTGACTTGGTATCTAGACCTCAACACTTTGTCTTGTCTAGTAAGCATAATCATTGCCATCTAAGAACAGCAAAATCAATCCAGGTTAACTGCATTTAGGGTGAAGTAGGACCTGCAGGGTCTCTACAGAAGACCACTGGCCTTCTCTCATGTGCTTTCCACCCAGGGTTGGTTCTGTAATTTCCTTCCATTCAGATCATAAATAAATCTCTTTAGGATTTACTTGGGATATCCAATCTTGAGATAAAATCACAATATGAGAAAACAATTCTTGTGGCAAAAATACAGTATGAGAAAAGAATGCCTAAAGCTTTTCAAGGTAAGATGTTTCTGCCCCCAGTGTAGAAAATGAAAGCTTTAGTATCTTTTTATAATAAATCCTATTTTAGTATTTAAGACATACATTATTAAATACATGCATATATAGTAAAATGGTTATTGCGCTGGAAGAAATTAACATGTCTATATGGCACAACCCTTCCAGTAAGAGCAGCTATAACCTATTCATTTTGCAAAAATGTATTTTTTTTTTTCTTTTTTGGTACTGGGGATTGAACTCGGGTCCTTGCGCTTGCAAGGCAGGCCACTGAACCGCTGAGCTAAATCCCCAGCCCATCAAAATTGTATTTTCATTGTTCTTTGAGATAGGGTATTGCTATGTAACCCAGGCTGATTATATTACCAAGCTGGGTCTTGAATTCCTGGGCTCAAGTGATCCTGCTGCCTCATCATACCAAGCACTATCTTGGACTTGAACTTTGGTAAAATGCAAAACTGAAATAGATGGAGTGTATTCTGCATTGTGAGATACACACAGCCTTTGGAAACCAGAGGACAAATGCTGTAGCTTGGATCCTGAATATCCTCCAAAGGCTCATGTGTGAAGGTATGGACCCTAGCCCATGGTACTAGTGAAAGGTGCTGGAACCTTCAAAAGATGGGCCTAGTGCAGTGATGGCGAACCTTTTAGAGCTTTCAATGATACGGACAGCCTGCTGTGGCATGTGTGACAGGTTCACCACCACTGGCCTAGTGGAAAGAAGTTAGATCACTGGAGAATGCTCTCAAGCGTGTATCTGGGAGCCTCTATTTCTGATCCTGGGATGTCAGGAAGTGAACAGCTTCCTCTGCCACACACTTCTGCTGTGACATACCATGTTACCACAGGTACAAAAGCAATGGGGATGAGCAACCATGGACTGAAACCTCTGAAACTATGCACCAAATCTAATCTTTCTTCCTTATAACTTGAGAAACTAAGGCATTTTGTCATGGTAATGGAATGTTAAACAATAGAGGGTGCAATTTCATTATGGATATGTAAATCAGGTTTCCATGCACCATATTTTTCAGGTACTAGGGATTGAAGCCAATGCACTGAACTACATCCCCGACATTTATTTTTCATTTTGAGTCAGGGTCTTACTAAGTTGCCCACACTGGGTTCAAGCTTGCAATCCTCTTGGCTCATCTTCCCAGAATTCTGGGATTACAAATGGGTGTCAGCATATGCGCATTCAAGCGCCATTTATTAAAGAAATTATACGTTCCTCATCATGCTGATTTTGGTGCTTTTGTTAAAAATTAGTTGACTGTATATTTTAAAAATCCCTATCTTGTTCCATTGGTCTATGTATCTGTTTTTATGCCAGTACTATACTGCTTTATTATAGTTTTATAATATAATTTTAATTTTATACATATATAGCTTGTGTGTATGTATGCTGCTGGGATTAACCTCATGCATAGCAGGCAAGCATTCACCACTGAATTACATCCTTAGCCCACAATGTAATTAGGAAGGGTTATGCCTCCAACTTTTTTTTCCCTCTGATATGCTCTGCCAGTTTTGAGATCTTTTGTAACTTCATAAGCATTTCAAGAAATTTTTTCAGTGAATTATGTCACTGGGATTTTGATAGGAACTGCAATGAATCTTTATCTTGCTTTAGGTAGTATG